TGAGAGGGAAAGGGAGAGGAAGAGGAAGAGGAGAGGGGAAGGAGAGGAGAGAAAGAGGGGAGATAGGGAAGGGAGAGTTGAGAGGGGAAGGGAGAGGAAGAGGAAGAGTTGAGAGGGGAAGGGAGAGGAAGAGATGAGAGGGAAAGGGAGAGGAAGAGGAAGAGGGAAAGGGAGAGGGAGAGGAAGAGTTGAGAGGGGAAGGGAGAGGAAGAGGAAGAGTTGAGAGGGGAAGGGAGAGGAAGAGGAAGAGAGAGGGGAAGGGGAGAGGAAGAGAAGAGTTGACGAGCGGAAAGGGAGAGTTGAGGGGGAGAGAGGAAGAGGAAGAGTTGAGAGGGGAAGGGAGAGGAAGAGATGAGAGGGAAAGGGAGAGGAAAGAGAAGAGGGAAAGGGAAAGGGAGAGGGAAGAGGAGAGGGGAAGGGAGAGAAGAGGAAGAGTTGAGAGGGAAGGGAAGAGGAAGAGGAAGAGTTGAGAGGGAAAGGGAGAGGAAGAGGAAGAGTTGAGAGGGAAAGGGAGAGGAAGAGGAAGAGGGAAAGGGAAAGGGAGAGGAAGAGTTGAGAGGGGAAGGGAGAGGAAGAGGAAGAGAGAGGGGAAGGGAGAGGAAGAGGAAAGAGTTGAGAGGGGAAAGGGAGAGGAAGAGAGAGAGAGGAAAGGGAGAGGAGAGGAAGAGGGAGAGAGGAAGAGTTGAGGGAAAGGGAGAGGAAGAGTTGAGAGGAAGCGGAAGAGGAAGAGGGGAAGGGAGAGGAAGAGGGGAAGGAAGAGGGAATGGGAGAGGGGGAGGAAGAGGAAATGGGAGAGGGGAGGGAGGGAGAGAGAAAAAAAAGAAAGAGAGAATAGGGAGTGAAGTGGGAGAGTGACACCACGAAGGAGGAATCAAGGAGAGGGACACAAAAGGAAAGGGAAAGAGGACACAGAAGAAAGAGAAAGAGGACACAGAAGAAAGAGAAGACAAAAGAAGAAAAGAACAAACAAGAAATATAAAAAAGCAGGAAAATGAATTGAAAAGGAAGCAACAGAAGGACGCAGAAGCAAAAGCACAAAGAAAGAAAATTAACCAACAAGGTGACAAAGACAAAGAAGGAGAGAAAGACAAAGAAGAAACCAACAGAAGGAGAGAAAGAGACAGCGGGAGAAAAAGACACACAACGGGAGAAAGAAACAAAGGGAGAGAAACCCACAGAAAACAGAAGGCGATCGACACAAGACGTGGACACAGAGAAGGCATCGAAATCAGCTGATTCCCGGTGTGTATTGGGGACAAAAGCTGTCAGAAATACAATGATGACGAATGATGTCACCTCACACTACGGTAGATGCCTCCAGACGTTCTTGTAACAGATAGAGAAAGAGAAAGAGGGATGGGGGAAGGGAAGGGGAAGGGGGAAGGGGATTGGGAGAGAGAGGGGAAGGGGAAGGGAAGGGAAGGGGAAGGGAAGAGGGAGAGGAGAGGAAGGGGAAGGGAGAGGGAAAGGGAGAAGGAGGGAGGAGGGAGGAGGGAGAGGAGGGAGAGAGAGGGAGAGAGGGAGAGAGGGAGAGAGGGAGAGAGAGACGTTGATAAATAATGATAAATGACATACACGTGACAGATGGAAGGAATAGAAAAATAGGTGTACGTGTATGTGTGCATGTGGATATGTGCATGTGCGAGTGTGTATGTACATATGCGTGTATGTGCGTGTGCATGTATGTACATGTGCATGTGCATATGTACATGTGCATATGTGTATGTGCATGTGTATGTGCATGTGCATGCGCGTGTACGTGTGCTTGTCAGTACAAAACAACTGACACAAAGCCAAGCAAAATTGCAGTGGAATCAAGTGCCACGGGGCTGGCTCCTGCACCCACGCCCCCGCGACGCACTCGTAGGCCTACCTCGATCTCACCGACAACAGGGTGGAAACGAACACAAATTTTGGGACTAACCTGGCCGAAGCCGACGCCGGGGTTGGCGCCTGGGTAACTCATCTGTTGGCGAGGGGAGAGCAGAGGGAAAAAGTGAGTCGGCGATAGATGAACGTGAAAGCATGGGATATGTTTGTTTGTTTATTAGTTTGTTTGCCTCACGCAGGCACTCACGAATTCATTCATTCATCCATTCATTCTCTCACTCACTCTCTCTCTTTTCCCAAAGGAGAAAGAGAGAAGGGAGAAATGGAGAAAAGGAGAGGGAGGATAATGGAAGAAGGGGAGGGGAGGGAAAGACAGACGAGGTATAGGGGGGGGGGAGGGGGGAGGGGCGGAGGAAGAGGGGGGGAGAGGGGAAGAGGGGAGAGGGAGGAGAGGGAGAGGGAGAGGGAGGCGTGAGGAGAGAGAGCTTAGGGGCAGAGAGGGTGGAGAGAGAGCTTAGGGGCAGCGAGGAGGGGAGAGGGAGGGGAGGAGGGGGAGAGGGAAGGAGGGGAGGGGGAGAGGGAGGGAGGGAGGAGGGAGAGGGAGGAGGAAGGAGGGAGAGGGAGAGAGGGAGGGAGAGGGAGAGAGAGAGAGAGATGGGTGAGGAGAGTG